ACATAGTATGGACTCCGAACAAGGTGTGTGCCTCTAGGTCTTCCTACCAGTATGACCAAGTTGTGAAAACAAGGTCAAACAACTTCTATGCAACGAAAGGAGACTGTGACCACACAAAAGGCCGCTTCATCTTAGTCTCCATACCCTCGATTAATAAAATATAGTTTATCGGTCAAAAGATGTCGGTCACGTGATAAAAGAAAGCATATCACGGGTTCATCGGAATCATAGGACGCTGAGTCGTCTGCATTCGATGATAATCAGCCTTCTTCGCTTTCATGAAAGTGAATAATTCTCGAATAACGTGTCCTTGGAAATACAAAGTCGAGTCACAAAAAAACTGACCACAAGATTTCTCGAATTCCAGCTTTTTTCATAAGCACATAGCACTTTCAGTTTTCAGTTTTCATTTTTCCCGCAATTCTTCGTCATATTTGGTGCCATATTTCGATGAGTATAATTTTCGCCTCTGATGAAATCTTTCACATGCCTCAGAGTCGCAGGACGATGAGTCAAGGGCATGTTCGTATAATCCAACGTTTTCATTTGATGGCAATCAGTCTTTTTCGCTCTCCTGAAAATAAAAAATTCCCGAATGCCTCCCAAACAACTCGCTCTTGGCAACGGAATGTCGAGTCCCAACAATAGTTCAGTTTTCCCTTTTCTTAAAGCACAAGCTGAGCTGAACCAGCCTTTTCTTCAGGTTAATAAGTCCAGAAGCTGCTGCAAGGACCTGTAGAACATCTCAAATGCGAAACAGCCTTAAATGCACGCATAGGCATGGCGAAAAGAATGAGGTGAAGAACCCAAAATGCCCACCAAGTATCCGTCCCGTTTGACGACCTCGACCTCTTCTTCCCACAGATGGGGCACCGTGAAAGCGTCCATCGCCGTCTCGGTCTGCTGAGAGAGTCGAGTGAGGTCGCGTAGAGTGCGCCGGAACCAAGCGACCAACGTCGACCAGGCCATGCACGCCTCGTCCGGCTTTTCGTTAGTCCTATCCACCCTCGAAGCTCCAGGCAACGGTGCCTCTCTGACGCGCATCTCCGACAGGTACCGGACGGACAGGTTCAAGAGGTTGC